ATGTAATTATTTAAATATTCCCATTAGAAAGAAAAAGGTCTGGCTAGGGTAACGTTACCCCAGCAGGAAATGTTATTGTGAAATAATTAAAAAACTGTTAGCGCAACAAATTTAAAAATGTGAGCAACAACAGAAGCCGCCCAACTAAAAGATTAGAATTATCTATAAGACTCAAATGACCAATTTCGACATCTGAGGCCTTAGTATGAGTTTGATTTACGTTTAAAGTATTCGAAACGAGTCACGAGTACACGTCCGGCACTCTTATTGGCCGGCGCCAATGAAGCAACCAATTAATCGCGCCGAACGCGTACTCGTTACGATTACTTTAAACGTACAACAAACTCGTACTAAGGCCTCTGGTCTGGGTAACGTACACTTTCCCAATTTAGTATTTTTTTACAAAAACTTGAGAAACATGACGTTTCAAGCTGTAAATGAAGTGGCTATCTAGGTACGTTATTTATTTCCCCTTGGTTAAATAAAAACAGCAGTTCATAGCAAAAGAGAAATACCTAATTAGGTATATACCAAGCACTTGTTAACTTTTTAATTTGTATTATCACTTTGTACGCAAAATGAAATTAATATTAAACAAAGCACCTACCTACCTACTCACTAAGTTAATATATCACAAAGTGCTAAGAGGATGAAAGGTAGATACGAAGATATTGTAGGTATTATAAGATATAGGTACCTACCTAAATATTTCGGCGGATGTTGTACTACCTTTTTTTTTTGAGGGGTGAAATCATCCAATGACTTCTACCGCCCGGGTGAGGCGGGAAGGAGTGTCAGACTCTTACTGACTAAAAACCACCCCGTTCTTACTCCTGCACTTCGACCCGGAGCCCCGGCAACCCGTTAAATTTTTCGCGTCTCCGTATCGGTATCAGCCCTGTTGGGCCCCATCTGTGGCGGTCTTATAGCTCCTTAGAACGCGACGCGCCGTACGCTCGGGCCTGGTTCTGGTCGGGCGGCGAGTCACCCGTGATCGCCGTCCGCAGGCCCGTGCTTATGGTGGCCGGAGATCGTCTCGCGATCCCCGACGCCCGGAATGTCTCTCGCGACGGTCGGGGCGTGAGGAGGTTCGTTCCCTCACGCGCTTCGCCTCCTCCTTAGCTAGGATGACTGCTTCGCAGAAGGAGGAGACGGCATCCCAGTCCCCCTCGCTCCGTACCATGGTCTGAATCAGAGCCGAACGCGAGAGGTCGCCGTTGCCGATCACATCTCTGAGGACACGGCGGTGCTCAGCCCACGCAGGACACACCGCCACCGCATGCTCCACCGGGTCCTCCGTGCGATCCTCGCAATGATGACGCCCGGGCGTTGCCTCCCGCCCAATCTGAAACAGGAACCTACCGAAACTTCCGTGTCCGGTAAGCACCTGTGTCAGGCGGTAGGTGAGGACGCCGTAGCGTCTCTCAAGTCACTCGTCAAAGAGGGGACTTACCGCTGCAATGACAGCGAGCCCAGCCCTCGGTTGCGACAGTCGTTGCTGCCATTCCGCCATGAGATCGCGCCGGAGCTCATCCCGCCACGCACAGATCTGGCCGGGCAGCAGAATTTCGCCCCGGCGACGTGCCTCAGCGCGCAAACAAAACACGCGCGAGCACCTTCGCCTCCAGATCCTACGGCGGTGATCCGGCAAGGAGGTTCGCCGCCTCCCCGGAGATCGTGCGATATCCGCGAATTAATCAGATCGCCATGACCCTCTGAGATGTTAGCAGCGCCCTGGCGGGCCGCCGCTTCAAATTCGGCGCCCACACAGGGGCACCGTGGAGGGCCATGGACCGCACGACCCCCGCATACAACCTACGGCAGGAGGCGTTTGGCCCCCCGAGGTACGGTAGAAGGCGCTTAAGCGCCGCCCCCGTCCGTTCCAACTTAGGAGCCAAACGTGGAAAGTGCTCCACGAAGTTCCACCGACTGTCGAGGACGAGTCCTAGGTACTTCATCGTCGTCTCGACGCCGATGGTAACCCCTCCTGCCGTTATTTGGGACTCACCCGGAGGTGGCGCGTTCCCGCGGCGGATGTTGTATTACCTAGAATATTACCTTGGAAAGTAGAGAAGTACTTTGAAGCATGTGGTTAGAATTTTGTAGATGCGAGTTTTAATAATGTCTTTGGTATAACATGACTTATCTACGACCGATTTTGGTTTGAGATCGGTTATTATTTTCGGCAGTAAGTAGGTACCTATATAACATCCCTGAGAACGGAAAGGTTTAGTTTTATTTACTTCTTAGGTACCTACCCAGTTGTGACTTGTGAGGTATTTGTTCAGTAGGTACATTGAAATAGTCAGTGTCTAATTTTTTTTTTCAAAGCTGCCCCAAGCTATCTTTTTATCCTGTGTCGTGGGTGCGTTTACAAAGATACAAGTTCACATACTCATGACACCCAGATCAGGAACAACAATTTGTGAATCGCACAAAGAGTTACTCTGCTCTTTGCGGGAATCCAACCCGCGACCCGTTGCACGGCAGCCGGTTGCCCAGTCACCGCACTAATCGTGCTGTCTTGGGTAGTAGGTAAATACCTACCTACATAGTACTTACACTTAACCGGCTACTGGCAGTAGGTATCATATTTTAAAGTCGGTTAATGCTATGCGTAATTGTAATTGTTTACCTACTTTACGGAAATCTTTAGCTAAGGCAAGTGCTAACACTTGACCGATTCTTGACTTTATTTTAAAAAAACGTATATCCAGGGGTCATAAGAGTTCCTATTTTTTCTGAATGGCCAGTGTGCAGTGTGTAGTAGGTAGTAGGAAGGTGCATCCAATTAGGTAGGTACTGTCTGAGGTACGCAATCAAAATATACAATCGTTATTATGTTTTAGGCAGATAAATGTCAAGTCTGGGAACAGAATAAACCCTCAACTACAGAACCTTGAGATTACACTTCGGCTTGTTAGAGCAATGGGTGACGAAAGAAATTCATTGGAAAAATCAATAAAACCATGGCCCACAAACTGGCTAGTAGTGGCTATATACCTAGTTAGTGTTTGTTGCATGACATCACCCTGGTCTAGCTAGAGGGTGGCACAAGGGGAGTGAGACAAACCCACCCCATTCTCCCCCAGAGTTGCGCATATTTGCGGAGTGCATTACATTGTCTAGCCACTACATAGAGTAGCCTTCAAATAGAGTACATAGGCACTTATTCAGGTATCTACTGTAGCGATTGTGCGCAGTCTCAATCAGCGTTCCTGCCAATCGCAGTTAAGTAGATATCTAATTGTGAAATAATGCATAAGGTATAAACGGGTACGTTAAATTGAAGTATGGATATAGTTAGATATTTATTGAATACCTATACCAATTTACCAACTTTAGTTTATAAGGTAAAAATAAAAAAAAACTCTATTACATAACTCCGCTGTCCATCTGTCTGTCACATGGCTGTAAGTGAGTAGATACCTCATTAACTGCTAGCTAGACTTGAATATTTTACATTTTACCCATTATTAAGATTTATCATATATGTAAATAAATATTTCTGTTGATGCTATAGCACTAATTAATTATTAAAAACAATGCATACATACATATCCTCACGCCTGTCTTCCATGGAGGTAGGCAGAGACTATGAAACGCCCATTGCTACGATTCTTACATAAGTATCTACCTCTTTCGCTTCATCATCAGTCTTTTCATGCATGGTCATTGGTTAATATTTTTAATTCGGCCCTTCTTCAACATATCGCCAATCTCGTCTATATATGTAGGTATATGACCGTCTAGGGCGCCCTCCACCGACGGCCCCATTCATATCAGCTCTGTATATACTTCTTTCGTTACTCTACTTTTACCCATCCTTATATTCTACATGTTCAAACCATCGTAACATTCGCTTTTCAATCCTTGTCACTACATCGTGTTTCAATCAACACTGTATTACAGAAAGTCGAGCTTCGCTTTGCATAAAAAAAAAACAATAAAATTAATATTTATTTGAAGCTGTATCCCAAAACCTGTCGCGAAGAACCTAACGGGTTATCGGGGTTCCGGCTCGACGTGCAGGAGAAGGAACGGTTTTTAGTCAGTAAGAGTCTGACACTCCCTCCACCCCGCCCAGGTGGGAGCAGCCATTCAATGATTTTCTCTACTTAAAAAAAATATCCTCAAAACCTTTTGTTCTTTTTGTGTAGGTCCCAAATTGTGTCCCCAAAAACTTTAGTAGGTAAGTAGGTATATATGCTCCATGATAGTGAAACATATGTAAGTAGGTACTACTAAATTAATTGAATTATGTAAGCTCTACCTACTGGTTTCAAAGCAGCTTGGGACTTTTATTCATTCATGAGCAGCAATCGGCGGCGCGGCATGCACTGTTAGTAGAAGTACAGCTTTTCTTATTTTATCTATGACTTCAAAATTCATATGATTTGCCGGATTCGTCAAAAAGTTCACGCTAACTTTCAACTTGTCGCACGATAAGTGTGGCCTAGTAGGTACTAGGTAGGTATATGGGCATTTTTTTAAGGGGGGAAAATCATCTAATGAGTTCTCCCACCTGTGTGAAGCGGGAGGGAGTGTCAGACTCTTACTGACTAAAAACGACTCCTTTCCTACTCCTGCCCTTCGAGCTGGAGCCCTGCGGCTCCGTAGGTTAGGTGTATATAACATACTAAGTAGATATAAAGCTTCAGCTGCAGGTAGGTATCAAAAAATAAAAACGTTTTTTATCAAAAATGTATTATAAAAAACATTAAAAATAGTGTTTCTTAATAAATCACTTACTTAAATGACTCTAGCCGTACGAAAATAAAATTAAATGTGCAATTTTTATGAAAAGCTTTACAAACTTGAATTTAATAATCATACTATCGTGTTGTGGTATAGTACTTTCCTATAGTAACTTCTTATAGTGGCTATCTTTTATTGAATAATCTCAAGCTAGGAATGGCACAGTGAGCAAAGCAGCCATTATAGGTATTTACGACTAATTGGTCTTGTCTTACTTTACGTAAGCTAAGTATATTATTATTTACTTACAAGAAAATTACTTTAATATTTACATAAGTCTATTTTCCTTTAAGCATTGTGTATGACTACTGATCAGTATGTAAGTACTGGGTTAGTTCTTCTTGTCTAATTTTAGAAGAATTTCTATCCTTATTTACCCGCTATGTCACATCTGACGCTAGCTATATCCCTTTTACTCGTATTAGACTCGCTGCATAGATTACCGTCGAGTTTGTTATGCTAATTCTTGGTCTCCCTAACTAAATACCACAACTTTTCACTTACATTTAAATGCAACCTTGCTTAAATGCTACGTTGGTACATTGTACACTAGTCTTTAGAGATATCACCTCTTTTTAGATATTGTATAACTTTGGAAACTTTAGTTTTTTTTATTAGCCTTAGCTAGACGTTGTCTGTACTTGTATACGATCCGAAAGAAAACGATTTCCTCACACGCGGTATTAAAGCTATGCTCAACACTGGACGAATCAAAGTTGAAATAATAAACGTGCTGCTGGTTGCTACATTCACAACAGTCATGTCATTGTCAGGAGCCAACGAAGTCTCATTAGCTAGTATTGACTTGGAATAAATATTATAGGCGGTGACAAAAGACCGAGGAGTACATAAAACAATGTAAATCACTATTAGCCACAGGGACAACTTCAGTGCAGCAGTGGATTCAAAGCATTCAATCTGGGATAGTATTTTCTTTATCTTTAACTTAATAATGACTAAAACACCAGCGATGCTCATAATAAACAGAGGTAGGAACAAATTTAATAGAGCAAGGATGGAGTACATATGCAGACGTTGACTGTTGTCCACAATAGTGCACAGTACAATGCTTTCATCCTGGTGCACTGTAGTTGCTAAAATATATTCGGGAACACTTAACGATATAGCCAGCACCCACACAAACACTGACGGTTGTGCCACTGAGATTCGACGATCAGTCAGCCGATAGTCCAGGTTCATAGTTCTCGGCGGAGTTGAGGAGTCACTGCTTGTCACTAAACTATGGCGTGAAGATCTTATTTCTTCGTCTTCATCCTGTGCGTTACGTTTGTTTCGTTTAGCGACAGCCTTTTCTTCTACATTAATCGTGGCAAGCGAATGTAGCGCAATAGTAGCTACCAAGTAGGATGATACAGTTGATGCAAAAACGTTCAGTCCTCGATAGGCCACGCAGCTGTGTTGACCAAAAGGCCACGATCTGGCATTGTAAGACCATAACTCGGGTCCTACTGTTGCTCCAAGTATGAGATCAGCCAGAGCTAATTGTAAAATGATGGTGAGTAAACCTGAAAAAAAAAACCAAATGTTTAATATATTATATCTGGCTAACAATTAAAACAGGCCAAGAGAGAGTCCAATACAAACAAGTACATTAGTGTACAAGGCTTGTCAATGGGCCTACTTAACGGAATGAACTCCCGGCAAAGTTAATCTTTGTGCTTTCAATGTGAACACATTCGCAACTAACTGTAAATAAGGATCATATGGGTTGTGTGTGTCCATTTAAAACAGAAGTTTGCTTTCGAGAGCTGAGAGACTTTTTATTTTGTGTCTGAGTTATCCGGAAATATGTTTATGTACCACCTAATGAAACTGCAAATTAAAGAAACTGACCTTTATCTTAAAGATAATTCTTAGTGAAATTAAAACAGAACACTATAGCATGGATTTATCTTAACGCTAATATCAAACAAGTTTTTGTTTACCACTCCTAGATGTTTTGAAGAGGGCGGCTATCACGGAGCAGTTGGCGAGAGCAGCAGCGCCGGCGACGCACGCAACGTACGCGGCGAGCGCGAGCGGCGGGAGGAGCGGCTCGGTCGGCTCGATCGTATGCGCGAGCTCCGACATGGCGTCGGCTGTCCGGGACTGTATCGGGATCAATGACTCGCGCCTCGCGGCCGCTGCGTCACCCGCGTTCTCCGCCGTCCCTCGATGTTTTTTTTCAGTAGTGATTCACCGCAGTCCGAACATGTGCACCACACGAGGGCGCGCGAAAATGCTAACGATTCGAGGTATTTATTGTTCCTACTTTGACAAACGACGAAGCACAATTACTTATTCAAGTTATCTAAGAACAGAGCAACACCTCAAGTATGTATGCTGTTCTTGCCTACCAAGTGTGCAAATAACGTAATAAAAGGGCTATGAACGCGTGCTGTAAGTTCATTATTATTCTGCGTTCGCAAACAACTACCGGCGCGCGGCGGCGCCCGCATCGAGGAGTCACCGAGTCACTATCCGAGCATTGAGCTCAAATTTATTCTTGGCCTAATAAATTATTAAGTATTACTATAACTTAATTCCATATGATATCCAAATAAGTAACGAATATTTAGAGCCTTATGTACAAAACTAAGACTAATTAGAACACGTCAACTTCTTGGCTGTGTTTTAAGTATACAGTCTGTTTACTAGTTAGCGATTAACAATGACAAGCAAAGGAAATTGCACCCTCAGAAAAATATTTACGATTTAGCTATTTAATCCAAACTTTAAATAAATTTTAATTCCAAAAATGTCTAGATGTGTAATGTTTACTATCAATCAGAAATTGGCATGCACTACTTTCACAGTTACATTATTGGTGACACCTCCATGCAAGGGGCGGTAAGCAGTGTTCATGTCATTTTAGTGTCGTACGAGCTCATGAACTGATAAACCGCCTTAATTAAAAACAAATTATTAAGATAGCTATATCGTAATATAATCAATCCAGTACATGACCTGTTATATACTACAGATACAGACCAGTTAACTAACTATATGCACCTTGCCAGAGAACTACCGCAGTTTCAATTATGCTATCCACAAACTGTCAACTGTCTCATCTTCTACAAAGTACCTACGTAACTACTACGCTGGTTCTACGTGTTGACTACGCAGCGCCTACTTCGTGACTACGCAGCGCCTACGCCGTGACTACGCAGCCTTATATTATACTCATTTTATTGATTCCTTTAACATATATTATACCTTTATATACATACAGTTTGTAAATTACTTCTAAGGCTCTTAAGGAATTTTGGTTTAGTATCGCTTGACTATTTAATAATTGAACGTAGGTGCAACCTACATTATACTCTGTGGTTTAGACAGATATTTGCTTAGAGTGATGTGCAATCACTCTATCTATGTAGTAGTAAAGTATAGCCATACATGAATGAACTCGTACCTCGATCAATAAACATCGTGACTCAGCCGTCACTCGTCAGATAAAGAAAATGCGGGCTGTCTTCTACATATCAAAGAAAGCATGATAAAATACTGAGAACTTGAGTTATGTGCCCTAAAAGTACAGGTCACACGAATTAAATTTAAGGTTCGTTTGTGTTAATTAATGAACTGTTTTTAACCGATATATTTAATATTTAGTAGAATAGGCTGTAACATTTGTAGCAGTTAGTGCGAGGGCGCGTAAAATCGAGAAGCACACGCCTCGCTGACTGGCCGCGCCGGCAGGCGGCGGTGGTGTCCGCGTCCCTCACTCGATATTGTTCGTTTGTTTTGATTAGCGGAAGCCGATGACTGTCGGCGAGGTCGAGTGATGGATGACTCGCGACAATGCTCCTCAGGGGACGCGTGTGGGCGGTGCCTTCGCAGCCAAATTCTGCACTTTCCTTCGACTTTCTCTTGGAGGTGCGAAAGGTGTTCACTTCATTCGGGGGCTCGCAATGCTTATTCGGTAGCTGGCGCCTCATAAGTGTACGCGTTCTAATCGCGCGCAACGCCGGTCGGTCCCTCGCCTCGCACGGTGCATCGCGCGTGCTTCAGATATTCAAAGCACCTGCATGCGACTTCCGAGCACCGGGTTATAAGAAGTGCGCGGATTGTGAAGGAGTAACTTATCGTGTGGTGGCTGGACAGCAATGTAAGGCAGTGATGGCACTCACAAGTGACATAGTGTTAGTAACGCTGCTGTGCGTGGTTCGCGACGGTGCGCCTGCGCGGTTTCCCGTGAGTAAGCTCGCCGCGAGGGCGGGCGGCGCGTTCATCTCTTATTTATTGATTTATTACACTACACTACACCTGCTATTTATTCATTTTACATGATATGGACGCCTGGGGGTCATATACAGCGTATAAATAAAAAAACACGAAAAAGTAGAACTCGTGCAAAAAAATCTATAAGTAAATATAAGAAATTTCGTGCTATTTAGATTATGTGCAGTTACTCACAGTTTGTTAAAATATTGAGGGTAATAATTAAAATAAAAAAGTTGCTAAATTAGAGAATTTAAACTTTACAGAAAGTTCTACTGAATAAGTATTTCTGTGATGTTAATTCCACGAAAGCTCTCCGTAGTAAAACCAAGTAAAACAATATTATTATGCTTCATATTAAATATCCAATACCATAATGTAAATAAACAATTTTCCAGTAACTTCAGACCGAACCCTACCTTAAACTAATTGACCGTAAGTTCAAACGTGCCTTAACTTAGATCCTGCCTAAAATAATTAACTAGTTACTATCCACCAATCGTACTTCAAAATGTACTTCATAATTTTTAGGTGTTGTAAATCCGTCATAATACCTCTATTATATAGATGAAAGATTCTTTAAATACATTCAAACACAATCAAATAAGATTCAATAAAACTGCTAATATACTCGTTTTCATCAAATTTCTGCCCGACTTTTTGATATGGTAAAATTCAGACAGTAGTGACTTGTATCAATCGGTGCTCAATAAACCGGGAAGTAGTTTCTAAACCACGTGCTCAACAGCCAGCATTTGCGAACTACAATGTAACACAATAGCAAACAAAATGATTAGTTTCACACTTGTATTTAATTAAAGATTACAATATTTTGTCAGTTAAAATAGGACAGTTTGTGTTTCAAAACAACCTTACAAACGCGAACTTACGTAAAATATTACTGTTTTTAAAAATAATTTATTTTTAGAAATAAAGAAAGGGTGGTTTTCAGTTTGTGAAAAGTGAGAAAATTTGTGAAATTACTTCTAAGTATTACTAGTATGTTAGGTACAATAATAAGTTTTAAAAATACATAAAACGCGTGTATTATTGTGTGTTTTGACCGGCTCACTGTGTAGCGTGCTTGACACGCTTTTGTTAGCTCACATTATTATCACTTTTTGTGATGTCTGAGTGTACTTACTTAGGGTCAAATTATCTCTTATTTGAGCTAGAAATCACGTGGACGTAGCTATGCAATTTGTAGACAGGTAAAAGCTTTTAAAATTTTCTTTTGTGACCTAAATTCATGGCCTTACTCACAAGCGTTTTGCTACAAACGATTTTTCACTTTATCAACGTAAATTGTAAATCATAGGAAAAATTTAAAATAAAATCGTGACTGTAATTCCCTAACGTATAAGGTAGAGTAGAAAAACAGAGTAACGCCCACAGTTTCCTGGTAAATATTGGATCAAATGATATATAGTAATGTAAAATATGAAAGGTTAAAATATTAGATCAAAGGTTAAAGTTTCGATGAAAATTCGGAAATACGTTTCAGACACAGGCGGAACAGCACCCACGCACTGGTTTTATCTAAAGGTTTACTCCGATCATTGCCAAGGACAAAATAAAAGCTATATTTGTGATAAAAAGTAATCTAATCCATTATTCCGATAGCAGGCGGCTAATAAGATTTTTAAAGGGCTCGCAATACGGAGTTTCTTCTCGGATAAAATAACAATATCGGTTTCGTAAATGTGATCTGAAGATCGCTCACCTCCGGGAAATATTACATACATATAAGAGGTAAAATCCGTAATATTAATACGAAGGCCTCGCTACATAGTCTTGATTTATATATATACGTATGTGCGAAGGCAGTAGGGACTGGATGGATCTGAAATTGATTAATGGAGTACAATTCTTCACGATGTGACAGTAGGAAGCTCATATTTTTACACGACAGGATTTTTGTTTTTAAAATATCGCACCTATTAATCATATGGACAAATTGTATTAAGTAAGTAATTAATACATAAGTATACGATGTCACTATTACTCGATTACTCCTATCAAGAATAGGTACGTAAGTACTTATAAATAGGTTACTTATTTATTTCAATTAAATAGTATAACATTATTTGTAGGTATCTACTTATTTACTAACTTTTCGACGTTAATTTTATTTACCTCTATATCTAAAAATCGGGTACGATTTGTTTGAGTAGAATTAAGAATTCAAATAAATAGTTTTTTTTAATGAATAAATAAAATCTGTATTCTGAAATGTAAATGGACACAGATACAAAAATATTCCTTGGGTAAGAAAAATAGATCTTACATGGTTAGGTGGTACCAGGATAATCCTGTGTCACAGGCGAGCTACTCTCGCCTAACATAATTATAATGAGAGAGGTGAAACGACTTACGAGTAACATAACAATTTAGTTTAGGTAAGGTACCTAGGTTATTTATATCATGTAGAGAAACGTATCGTGTGGTTGAAGTATATTTTGTAATTAAATAGGCATATTTCCTAAGATGGCGTATAGATATGTAAACAGCTTTCGGTTTGTAAAGTATGAAGAAAGGGTTGGGCACACGTTTTGTAACTGTGTCTTGTGTACCCGTGAAACAGTATCCGTGCCGCTCGGTTACGCTACTTTTCAGCCCTCGATTATGTAACGTTACGTCGATAACAGGTTACCTACAATGCACATTTCCCGAAACTATTAAAACTTTCACCAAATTATGGTACATTAACAACGCCTTACGATACGATTTTATTTTGACAATTATGTTACGTAATAAAAATGCAGGTGTTTCACGTACTGGATCACGTACAAACGTTACACAACGCTAACGTCAACTAGAGTTTTTCAATCGCTCTCGATGAATCACAGCGTGCCTTCATTGTGGGCCGGCGACGCGACGTGCCCGCAGCCTCCGTGTAATTGAGATCGATACCAGTAACTTTCATCATTGCCACATACCGACGTAACACTCACAATTGAATGCCAAAATTAAAGTAATTACCGGCGCCTTTATACCCGGCCACTTATTCAAAGCCGCTAATAATTCTTCAGAAGCCGCATTGTCTGGCGTGGAAGAAAAGGAAAAACAAATAGTTTTACTTTCCCCTTTACTTCGCTCGCATCCGCTAATATTGAGCCTACACTTAGCTGACTCATGTGGACTTGATTTCGGTTTCACTGTTCTCCATCACTTTGACTGACATGTTAAAATTCATACAGCAAACTACAGTAACATTTGTGGTAACTACTTACAGTTTCATTGAGTCGCCGCCGCCTGTCAGCCTGCTATCATCAATCATTTGCACTACGAAAACAATGAAACCAGTCCAACACGTCGTATTCAACAAAAGCTTCTGTCTGATAACTTATCTTGTCGCGTCGTCTACACAAATATGTTCTTGGTTCAGGAAGCAGGATCTAGATTCACAGTTGTTTTGTTTCATTCATGTTCAAAACTTAAAACAAATGTGTAACTAATGATATTATAATGTGTCGAATAATTTCCGGCCGCGGGCAGTAAGTGTCAGCAAAATAATTAGCAACGATCTCCGGATCGTTGGCCCAGTTGATGTCGAATGATGGATTGATATGTACTCGTATAAATATTGAAAATGAGACGCGTGATAAAGATTGATAATAACGTATGTGACTCGCTGAACTTGAACGATGAATATTTCAGCGGTAGACGCGACACCCACTTTAACAAGCTTTGGCATATTGTAATGGAGATTACTTAACAAGGCCAATAAAAGTGTAGTCTAGCTATTAATGAGAGCAATAAAAGTAGTGTGAGAACGCGTACCAGACGACATGTCCGTGACAATGGTCGCGCGCCCACCACTCGCATGAGCTCGTTGTCGCATTGCCTTTTGACCTACATTATTCATAAATTTATCATCGCTTTGTCCGGATTATTTTGATGTTCCTGATACCCAGTTTGATTGCATTGTTGTAAAATACGATCTAAATAGCTACTAAGCTGAGTAATCTGTGAATGATTGGTAGCACCGATGGTTCAGGCAGCTGGGACCTAGTTTATTATACAAACTAATGCGTCAATTCTATCTTTGATATTAATTTTTATCACAATGATTATTGGGTGACATTAATTTAATTAACTAGGTGTTAGTTTCACTTTTTGATTATATTGTTATTACCCGCTTGATTTTCATTAATATAAATCAATTGTCAGCTGTATTTGAAGTTTGTAGGTAGGTATTGTAATTTTTATTATTATGTTTACAACGAAAATTACACAGTCAAAAAAACAAGTGAAGCCATCTTATAAATCACTTTTTATTAAAATAGCTACAAGTTGGTTTTTGTTATATTAAATGTTATTGATTTCCTCTGACTAAGGTATTCCACACCGAAAGGTACCTACCAAAAGCTCTCCCTAACCACGGCTGGGACTCGACGCGTAAAGGACGTTCGCATCTGAAAAATCGATCGGTGTACGAGACAGACGTTAGCTATTATCCTCAAAACAGCGCGAGCAATTTACGATCAGGCAATTTTAAAATATTACCTAACAGACAATAATATGTACGCTGGGAGTAATATAGCATTTCTATTGCGTCAGTTATGCTGTGCTACATAATCATAATCTGATATTGAATTAACAGTACTTGGCTTAAAGCTTCTATTACATAAACAGTAACAGGTTTCCGTTCATCGTAGTAACAGTAATTGGTATAAACAATTACCTATCTGAGTCATTGTAACTACCCATTTATTGATTTCACATTTTGTTTGTTTATTCATTATACAGAAGCCGGTTGTGTGAGACTCGTTGCATGGCCGGTTGGCGATAGGGTACGGCCTTTTAATCCGAGTGAATGAACGTTCACAGTTAATATGGCGCAGTCAATATGTGGCACATGGGCACATCCCGTTTATCCAACGTGAATTGTTAACTTCCATGATTATAAGCAAACAATGTAGGTAGACAACATAATGCTAAAATAATTCCAGTTCGTAAAACAACACATTTATCATGATATAATTTCTAATTACTTAGGCTTTCAAGGATTACAAATGTCTTCATAGGCATTTGTTACGAGCAAAGTTTTTTGATGAGCTATTATTAAACTTTTATGTACAAATAAATGTAGCCATTACAAAGTGATGAAACGTTCCGTAATTCCGTTAAATGAGGAGACTTACAAAATAAATTCATGTTTCGACGAAAAGTAATGTTGTTACGAATATGTATTTTAATTTGGAAGGTTTTTCATTTCCTTCAGGGGTAGAAATGATCTTCGTTTTTTGTAACAAGCAGATGGACAAATATCTTTGATTTATGTACATAACCTGATTTATGTTGTTATCTCAATTTAAATAACTAAGATATCGAAATATGAGATACAAGTCTTTATTTAAATGAGTACTCTAATGGAAAATTCAAATGCGAATAATTTGGAAAATCTCTTACTTATTTGTGAAGCGACAACAAGTTTGTCTGGGTTTTCCAGGAAGAAATCAGAGAAATGAACCTTCGAATAAAAAATGCAGACGACGCGAGAATGTCGAGGGTCGGTGACTGTATTTATTTAGCACATACATACGCATCTATATACCTATACAGTCGCTACTCGCTACGTAGCAACGGCAGGTCGGTAACTGCGACCCCTTTTTACAAGGAAACGAAACCCGTGACTGTTTCGAAATTGTTTGCAAATAAGGCGTTAATTTTTAATACCATTTTAACACGATCAATACTTGTTTAGGTAATGTTCATCATTCATTTGATTCATGCTCAATGTAGGTAGATTAATTTATCGCCGTTTCGTAGCACTGTGCTACGAGAATAATCGTATACTCGAAATACTCGAAATCTAGATCAGTTCTTGGTGCCTAAGAATCTTTATCGCTTGGCAACTTATGGATATAATAAAAGTACGATTTGTGGCTATTTTAGAAAGGAAATGTTTTTTTTCGGTATATGATAAAATATATAGGTAATTTCGTTGTTTACAATTATCGTACATAATTAATTATCCGTATTCATTAACAGCTTGGAAATTCTTCATTGCCGTACCTATACAGAACTAGATGTGATAATAATTGTGCATCGAATTACTTTTTGAAGACTTTACTAGCCCTACACATGGACTAGAGTTAATCCTAACTTCATTTGTCATCAGCCCAGTGAATTTTCATACAAATCCTTTCATACAAACCATATACTAACTGTAACACAAATAATTCTGTTTGTGTTTCAGGATCTATTTCCCTTGCACGGCTGGTGGACGAATGCAGACCGCATGCAAGACAGCTCAGACATACAAGTGGTGTACCTACCAGCACTACTGCCGAGAGAAGCACAGCTTGCCTCCGACAAACAATCAGAGGACATCCCATTACCGTACAGCTTTGATGCTTTTGGAAGGTAAGGATATTTTTGAGACTGTACTGATAAAAATAAAGCTAAGAATACAAATGTCCCAAGACATGTAGGTATAGGCGATGTGTCGAGGGAAGCCGCCGATGTCGCCTTACATATACCGCGACAACGCGCAACTTATGTCCACAGTGACTTTGATGTTGCCAGACATGTCGACCAAAGTCCGGTAACGTCGCGTTACTTCACCCGACGTCGCTGGCGACACATGTCGCAGATTTTGTCCCCTAGTACCTATACACTAAATTACCCATCTACATCAACTTCGAGTCCTGTGACCAAAGTTCATACAAAACTAGCCTCTAAGACGGCAACTACATTCATTTAATTCTTCAGTTTTATCTATCTATCAATTCTATCTACTATATATATAATCGAGGGGTAACGGACTATTTGGTTTAAGCGACATTTTGGGCGATATTTGGTTATTATGTATATTCGACGGAGAAAAATTCGCTGATTCCGAATATATATATCACTCAATATCGCCCAAAATGTCGCTTGAACCAAATAGTCCGTTACCCCTCGATATATATATATTCCTGAAATGAAACCCGTTTTCCGTTGTCACGCCATAACTTGAGAACGACTAGACCGATTTGACTGATGATCTTTTTTTTTTGTTATTGTCAGGAGGTTCTTATGACAGAAAAAAATCTTGAAAATCCTACGGGAACGGGAGAAAAAGGGATTGCGCGTGCGAAGTCGCGGGCAGAAGCTAGTTAATTACATAATTATGTATTCCGTAATTGGGTGGGACGTTTATTACACTTTAATGGTCCTCATTTCAAGTTTACTTAAAAAAATGCTTTTTCTTAACATCCTTAAATATGTATCTGTATAGATTAACATGGAATGCTATGTTTCCTGTATTCAGAACAATATAGGATAGTCAAACCTCTATCTGTCCTTTTCGCTCTTCATAGAAAACACTAGAATAATCCAGTTTACGACACATTGTTTCTCGTTGGACTCTAAACATTTCTACGCATAACGTGCTCGTAGACGACTATTAAAGAAAAACAGGTTTCATTGAGTGCCAACTGACTGACCTTGACAAAGCATTACTGTTTAAGTGTGTTGGATCTGTTCGTGTGATCAATCAATCATATCGTATTAGGAGAAAGCGTATGCTAATTCATTGATACTGATGACTAATAAAAAATAGATCTAGATCTAATTTGGGTTAACTCTACACAGATTTTATTTACATAGTTCGTATGTGGGTCTACCTTTGTTATTATTTTTTTCATCATTCTTTTCTAGGAATTTTGAGCTGCAATTGGTGCCGAATCGTCGTCTTGTCTCCCCTGAGTTTCGAGTTTGGTCAGACCAGGGTCAAGAAGTTACGCTCTCGGCCGTAGACTCTTCCTGCCACTTCCAGCATGCAGGGTCTAATGCAGTCGCTGCATTCTCAGCATGCAGAGATCATGCTCTTGTAAGTACAATTTTTTTTATTAAGCACACGTAGTTCTAATTGTGACGAGTTACATTTAAAGCAGACGATGTTCTTTTATCATATTTTATGTTTGTTGGCTGCAGCATGGATTGATTGTCGTAGACAACTCAACTTATGAAGTACGCCCTCTGCCACTCGGCAGCGGGCGGGCGGAAAACGGTAGCGGCCGCACGGCGCATGTTATTCGTCGCGCACCGCCGCCTGCACCGCCCGGCGATGACGCACGTCTATTGCGACCGCGCGTGCGCAGACCACGGGCCTACCCGCCACGACTCAAGCCTGGTCCACCCAACTACACCATTGAACTAGCTTTATTCCTTGACGAAGCTGCTTACAAAATATTCTACCCTTATCTCAACTACAGCGAGTCAGATCTTCGTGATATGCTTCTAGCATACATTAATGGTGTAAGTTCACTTTTATTATTTAATTTACGAGGTCTTGGTTAGTTTACTATAATTTTCCTCTATAAGATTTCCTCAAAATATAGCTTCTGTCAAATGACTTCTACATGTTCCAGGTGCAAGCGCTGTACCAGCACTCCTCTCTGGGTACTCACATTCAGCTGTCACTTGTGCGCTTGACGCTGCTGCGATCACAACCATCTTCTCTACCACCGCATGCAGAACGAGGCCGATTGCTTGACTCATTCTGTGCGTACCAGCGATCATTGAATGTAGACGATGACGATGATCCTCAGCATTGGGACATGGCCCTGCTGCTATCAGGGTAACTGTAAATCTGAACCTGTAGCTCAATTTCCAACTGTACCTAGTGACTGACATCATCGGTACACTACTTATCGTTCAACGGTAAACAATTATGAGTTTACTAGGGTAGAAAAACTGACTGAAATCAAGCCTACATGCATCAATGAAAACGAGCAAATATCTGTTCAAAACGTGTTGTGGTTTGTTTTGTGGTTTACACAAGAAACGTTGGTATTTCACAAAAAGACGATGATTCAGCGTTATGCGTAAAAATAAAGAAAAACAAAAATAAATCTCTTTTAGCATACCTACTACAAAAGACTTCCAAAACACAAAAGACTTCCAAAAGTTAATCACCCACCGTTATTTGTTTAACAATTTAGTCTACAGAGGTATTGGACGGGTCACATAAGGTTTTGGGGTCAAATCTGTTTGTTTGTTCTGTTCTTTTGTATTTTTGCACCAAATTAGTTTGTCTAAAGATAAAGCGGCTGTTTTTCTTTTCTGTTTCAGGTTGGACTTCTATTCAGAGGAAGGAGGTCGTCGAAATGGAGTGACGATGGGTCTGGCGCCAGTGGGCGGTGTGTGTTTACCAGCACATGCGTGTGTGGTTTCAGAATTCGGCACATCTGATATGCTCGGCCGGCCCTATCCCTCTGCTGGCTTCACCTCTGTCTATATCCTAGCGCATGAGATTGGACACAAGTCGGTCATAACTCGTATTATACTATTTTATCTCTCAGACTCTAAATATACCATAATTACATCAATTCTTAGTATCGATAGAACAATTAGGACGACAGTTTTGATTTGCTATAACAACCATAACTCGTATAGACAGCTTGTTGTAACTCTAAATCTTCGAGGTCATTAACTTGTAATCGATTCCATTCCTCCGTTTATATTAGGGCCATTATGCGGGCTTTGTTAAGCGGTTTATTTCTATTATATTAATTGTGTTGTAAATTTAATGAACCATGAAATTATTAGGTGTAATAATTCTACCTGTTATCGGAGTCCTAAGTAAGGCAAGTACTTAATCCGTGCTGTTAGTTAGGTCTCAGTTACTAACCAGAAACTTCATAATCTTTTAAATTACTTTCTACTGGCTATTTGTAGTATGGGTAATTCTGTAAGTTCAAATTTATCTTTTCAGTCTGGGAATGCATCATGATGGGACGGGCAACAACTGCGCTCGCGACGGCTACATCATGTCTCCTTCGCGCGGGACCAATGGCGAGGCATCCTGGTCTACTTGCAGCGCTCGCGTCGTTGCCGATTTGCAGTACCTATAGTTCCTTTATCATCCGTTTGTTTTTATATTAGTATAGTTACAAATATTTTTTATTACCTATCGATATTTATGAGGATAATAGAATTAACTTATTACCTATTAATACAAAAACAGGAAAAATGTTTACTTTTCCTTTGTCCTACTCCACAAAATGTTTTACTGATTATTTGATAAATCGAACGTGATTGTTGTTGTTAACGAAATGGTTATGTTGATGTCAATTTCAGTTGTTACACAAGTTACATTTGTATGCACATTGCATGACTCTTTCCTAAACGTGACACTGTAGAAGGTTAATGATAATTTGGTAGTCGATATATAATAAGTAGTTAGATTTGCAATACACGCATTTCGTTTGTATGCAATCATAAGGTCTTCAATAGCTACTGGGTAGAATTTACATAGGCATAATTAACCCATTTACTGTGACTTTCTTCAGATGGGCAACTTGCTTGTTTGATGGCTCTGATGACTTGGATGCGCCCAGTGAGCTCCAGCACGAGAGGTTTGGTGGAGCTCCCGGAGCTGTATGGAGTGCAAAGAAGCAGTGTGAGGTGAGTCACGTAATTTTGGTTGTAGTTTACTAGTGTATAGGAAGTTATACGAAGCGGTGAGTGAGAGCTAAAATTATAAAAATAACAAAAATTCCTCACTACCGTACATCAGAGCATACCATTCAAATCACACATTTTATATTTGCAATTGTCGTACCTACCTGGCCGAGAAATCAATCAGTAATTGATACACTTCATTATTAAAACACAGTACTGAACTGATCAATGATAATTTTCCCTTGTGCAAGATTCTGTTGCGTGACGCTGACGCTGCCCCGTCTCCAAGCGGTCCAGCAGGCGAACACTGCTCCCAGCTTGCCTGTCGCACGCCACACCGAGCTGGGTACTACTACGCTGGACCTGCACTACCTGGCACGCCCTGCGGAATGCACATGGTCAGATACATTATGTATTTTCTAATTCCTAATTTTTGATTTACTGGGAAAGCTTTTTATACTAGCGCCGTAGCGTGGTACTACTTAAATAATCTTGTTGGATGCTAAAATTGAAATGAATAAGACAATAATCCATTCGCAAATGGCGCCCAACGTGGTCCAATTTGTCCAACGTTGATTGCACAATTAGAAATCGGAAAATGTTTCATAGAGAACGCCTACGAAATCTGCATTATTAGTATTGTTATTAATTATTTTTGACTGAACATATTATATATATTAGATATTAATATATTACAAGAAGTCAATACTGTAAAATAACTAACGGATACTTCAGTGGTGTCAAGGAGGCGAGTGTGTGCCAGCGAAGGCTCTGCCAACATCAAGTACCACGGCGAAACCTGACAAGGATATCGACAACACTATATCAGGAGGTTGGAGTCCCTGGAGAGAAGCAAGCTGCCAGTCTGGCTGTTCTGACAGGAGTCGAGGGTTCAGGGAGCGACGGCGAGTGTGTACGAAGCCCTCGACAGACGCATGCCAAGGAGCTTCGTATGACGTCGTGTTGTGTGATGATACCAAGGTTATTTAAGCTCTGTATAATTTTATTGAACACTGTGATAATGGGTAGCGATTACTATGATGCATGTTGGCTGAAAACTTTGTAACTAAGACGTATAGTCTAATAGTGTGAAAATGTATATATTTAGCACACATTAGCTGAAACCTGATATTCTACGGTTGGTTACTATGACAAAGCTAGAGAAAATTCGTTAAGTAATAATGGTTTTAGTCCCCATATCAGAATAGCATAAGTAAATATTCTGTACCCACACTAATAGTATAAAATTAATAAAAAAATGTTTTCAATTAGGTTTGCGGCAAAAAAACCCGTGTAGGTGCAAGTGAGCTGGCGTCACGTAAGTGTGCGGAGTATGCATCGCTGCTACCAGAGCTGGACCCTCGTGGAGGTGGTCTTCAGGCACCGCATGATCCCAGTAAGTATTGTAGACTTGGTGTGTTTTGACATTGATTATTTGTTCAAACAATTACGCATTGTACCTGCTGTTATGTTATACTCTATTGGGTAATTAAGTTTAAATTTTTTTTTACAAATTTTTTAAATCAAATTTTGTTGGATTAGAAAGCTCCAACTCTAACTATCCATTCAGAGACGTGATATAAAATTCATGACATTTACTCGAACTTTGTCTTGATGAAATTCCACCTGTTGCGAAATCAAATCTTCTTTTGTTTTCAGCTCGTATGTGGATGGGATGTGCTGTGTTCTGCCGACGTGCTTCGGGAGGAGGTTTCTATGCTCCACGGGTTGAGCTGAACGATGCAGGCAAGGACCCTTATTTCCCCGATGGTACCTGGTGTCATAACGATGGAAGTCAAGACTACTACTGCCTTCAACATCACTGCCTACCTGAGGTGAGATCATTATTAATGAGTTTTATGAATGTTTAGTGTAGGTAGAGGTAATAAATTATACATTAACATACAGTTAACATATTATAAATTATGATACAGTAAATTACATCATCTTATAAATCGTTAAGTTGTTAATCATCGTTATGATGGCAAAAAAATACTATTAAGTATTGATGGCCTTTTCAATTTTATTAATTTACAGTAGATTTGGGATTTCAATTCTTAATTTTGATCTAATGACTTAAGTTAATTTGACTATTATTGATTTTTGTTACTTATAAAAACAATTTCTTATCTGAAGTTTGAAGTGAGAATATATATAGCTATGTACGTTTACAAGATTTCGGTACGCACGGTAGCGTAAATTGTGCGTCGTTGATAAGTGTAACTAGGTCACACACTCTAGAAGGTACGGTAGTAAAATGTAAGTAAGTAAATCAATGACCAAGGTTGTTTGTGTACAAACGTCGTTAGTCCTGTGTTAACAGCGTCCTCTATCGGTAAATAACCGCATCACTAAACAAGTTTCAAGTGAGTTACCAGCAAAATAGTATACACCTCTAAAAGTTGAATTGTGTAGTTTCCACCTAAACTAATAGATGGCGTTGCTGGTAACTTTCCGCTGTTTTCCTCCATTGTTTGAAGTTCAAGATTTGATGATGGTAGTAATTATTATGGATGGTCTGTGTCGTACGGAAAATCGTCATTTCCATGGCTTAGCTAAATATTTCGTTACTGTATATTATAATTATGATAAAATATTATTCGGTCAAAGCTATATTTACAATTAATATTCCATTGCTTTGTAACACAAATTAATTAATTTTTTCATATATAAAAAAAAAAAATCTTATTTTAGAATATTAAGCTCGTGCATGTTTTAAAAAATCTTAATCGTATTTTTTGTATATGCTACAAGATATTGCATAGAATATGCGTTAAGTAAAAATCTAAACTAAATACCAATATCTATCTAAACCAGACATTAATTAAATAATTTATGTGTGGTACTGAAAACTCTCGGTCGTTAAAGTAGGAATACTTTGAATGTCTTTACCATATTGGAGTTTTTATTGTATCCGATTCTGTCGGGACAATATTGGAAGGAAATATTAATAAGATACAAATTTAAACCAGGACTGCCTCGTTGGCCGAGTGGCCGCAAGTGCGACTGCCGGGCAAGGGGTCTCGGGTTCGATTCCCGGATCGGGCAAAGTATTACTAGGGTTTTAAAAATCTCAGTAGTAGCACGGAGTCTGGAAATGTGCCCGGTATACGGCAATAGGTTCGCCCCCTATTACATGGAACTCATTACATACATAGTGAAAAGTGGGTGTTACATTGTACGGCGACATTAAGTAGCCGGAATGTACATCTCTGCCTACCCCTTCGAGGGTAAAAAGGCGTAATGTTATGTTGTCATACCAGGAATCCCAGGGAATCTAAGCAAAGTTGGAACGGGCAGCTAGTTTTTAATCTAGTTGTATGTTAGTACGTACAAAAATGTAGGTATATATAAGTACACATAATATTCAAGAACACTGTGATTGTAACTATTACACTTCCCATATCCGTATCTACTAGTTAACGTATGTGGAGTCAAACTGTTCCATTCGTCGATAGGTTGTGATTGTAACTACCTAACACTTTGATTTGTTTTGGATTTTGAAACTTATATTTGGTAATTTTTTATTCAAGCAAATATATGCGTAAAAATGTAGGAACATTTTATGGTAAACTACCTGTTGCTCGCGACTTCGTCCACGTTGAATACTATTCCGTTTTATCTCATGAGAGCATTTAATCGGTTTAAAAAGTATACTATCACCTAATTCATCCTGCCTGTGTACCAAATTTCATCTAAATCCGTTCAGTAATTTTAGCGTGATAGACGGACAAACACAAAGAAACTTTTACATTTATAATATTAGTATGATAGAACGAAATAAGGAACTAAGACTATTACGTAAAATAAACGTCTGCCTAGTTTTTTCTGACGCTTTTAACTTTAAGAAAAAAACTATTTATTAATTTAAACATTTATTATATTTTTACTACGTAGTTTATAAAATCTTGCTAGTTACACCATTAATTTTCAACTCACCTCCTGCTTCCCATATCCGTAGTCCGTACGACCACACAATCAACAGTCATTAAGAACCTATAACAAGACCGTGTAACATTAAGTACGTTGCCTTAACATTGTTACATGAGTCTATAAACTCTATAAAAGGTTCAGTACATTTAGTTAGCTTTATAGCGCATTGTTTGTATATAAATAGGCTAACAACCAGATAAATGCTGCAGGTAGGGTAATCTCCTTGTCTGTCAACAGCCGCGTCATCTCACGTGATTGTATCTCTATAAAGTGCTATAAGTACATAAATCTAATGAATGACTGTATCGTAATAACATACGTACTCTACTTCGTTGGTTAATGTCATATTGCGGCAGTTAGCAGGAAGGAACGGTGACATTTGCAAATTACAGATTTTTCAAGTTTCATCATCATCATATTAGCTACAGGACGTAGTACACTGCTGAATGCTTCCAGATAGGCCGGTTGGAAGCGACCTGCAACCTTGATCTACTATATACATATATGCCTATGAAATTGTAATAGATATTTTATGTTATGTGAAATAATGCCTCGATGGCCGTGTGGTCGCAAGTGCGACTGTCGGGCAAGGGGTCTCGGGTTCGATTCCAGGGTCGGGCAAAGTATTACTGGGATTTAAAAAAAAAATATCAGTAGTAGCACGGAGTCTGGAAATGTGCCCGGTATATGGCAATAGGCTCACCTCCTATTACAGGAAACTCATAACATAAATAGTAAAAAGTGGGTGTTACTTCTGTTTGCACCTCGGCCTGCCCCTTCGGGGTGAAAAGGCGTGATGTTATGTTAAGTAAAATAATACTGTTTGTGGGTGTTACAAGATAGTATTATACCCCTTCGGAAAATAAAATTATGAGTTATGTTAATAGAGAACAGCGTAATCCATTGCAAATGAAAAGATTTAAAAGATTATCGAATGTCTTTGCGTCATAAAAAGATTACGATTTTTAAATGTCATCCAAAATATTATATTTTTTGTTGGTAAAAACTTGTTTGCAGATCGAGATTATGTCGAAAACGTTTTTTAATTTCTTCTAAACATGTTGTGTTAAGTAGTAACTTGCGCAGTGCCTCATGTGCTTCATTATCTCAGCTCCTTGCATTGTGGGTTTGTCGTAATCTGTACGTGCTTTGTTTGCATTTGCATGCTGATGGAAATGTCCCGTAAAAAGCTATCTCTGCGAAAATCTACACATGAGGATAATTTAATCATTCATTTGTATTCTGGGCAAAATTTCTAGAGTTATACCTTTAGTTTTTTTTATAGCATAAGCCGGTAAACGAGCAGACGGATCACCTGATGGTAAGCAATCGGTGCCGCCCATGGACACCCGAAACACCAAGGCGTTACAAGTGCATTACCGGCCTTTTGGGAATTGGGAATTTGAGGATTGTGGAGGATTCGGGAATTCGGGAGACTACGGAGTAATTGGGCCTCCGGTAACCTCACTCTCACGACGAAACACAACGCAAGCGTTGTTTCACGTCGGTTTTCTGTGAGGCTGTGGTATCACACCGGTCGAGCCGGCCCATTCGTGCCGAAGCATGGCTCTCCTACACTATAAACGATAGTACGAGTAGGGGGGGAAGTCCCTTAACGCCGGACGGAACCTAACGCCGTAAGCTTGTATTATCTCTATAGCTAATAACGCGAGCGATTCAGTTTTTAGGAGGAAGTCTCCCAGTGGCAGTCACCTAAGATTTTTAGTAAAGGTTGAATCGCTCGTGTTATCAGTTATCGAGATAATACAGGCGTACGGCGTTAGGTGCCGTCCGGCGTTACGGGACTTCCCCCTATACATTTTAAACTGTCAAAAGCACACGATACGTATATCTGTAGGAAGGACCTCGATTCGAATTCGATTTCGAATACGCAATACACCACCACATCATCTTTTCGTAGCACCTACGCGCTACTCCACCTCTACGTATCGTAGCGACTACCCCGTGTTCCAATAGCACTTAAACGACGCTCTTTACGTAGTATAGCAGCTACGACGTGTTTACGTAGCGCCTACGCCACTACGTAGCGCCTATATCGTCTTTATGCAGCACATATGCCACCTTTATGTAGCATATCGACTACATTGTCCTTACTTAGCACTTAGTCCACCTCTACGAAGCCTGGCCGCTACGACTTCTTTAAGTAGCACCTACGTCGCCTTTACGTAGCGTAGCGCCTACGCCCCCTATCTGTAGTGCCTACGCCACCTCTACGTAGCGTAGCGCCTATGGCCTCTATCCGTAGTGCCTACGCTACCTCTACATAGCGTAGCGGCTACGCCACCGCTACGTAGCGTAGTGGCTACGACGTCTTTACGTAGCGCCTACACCACCGCTTTGTGGCGTAGCGGCTACGACGTCCCTAAGAGCACCACCTTTTGTACGTAGCGCATCGCAATTGTCTTTTTTTATAATATGTACTGATTACGCCGCGTCCACGCAGTATTACAACTATTCGCTAAGCAAAACTAATAGTCCGGTCAATTTAGACCAAAAAATGAGAGTCAAGTTACATAAAGTCCCAACAAGCTGAATTTCTGTGAAGTTGTTCAAAACATAATAATAAACAATGTCTAGAAGTTCCCCATCATTCCCCTGTAAGGAAAAAATTTAATTCAAGGTCAAAGGTCAAAAAAATGAGTTTTTCGCGATTTTCAGCAAAACGGTAAGTTTTATCATAAAAGTACCTCAGACAAATATTGTAGATCATAAAATTATCCATAAAAATGTATCA